GCGCTCATCCTTCTGTAGTCAACTTGGTCAGCCGCGGCGGTGGCGCAGCGATGCGTGGGTCCATAGACCTTCTGCAAAGGCCCACAGAACACCGGCAGTGCTGCGTTCCGCACCACGCGAGGATGTAACAAGGCACCGCTGCTTCGTCGCTCACAGCAATTCGACTGCGACTGCAGGCGTCCAGCGACAGTGAAGCTCAGTGTGGCCACGCAAAGATCTCCAATTGCAGAGTACTCATGCATGCTGTCAGCAGCGCTCGCATGCAAACACCCCCCGCCCACCAGTGACGTGCAGCGTGCTCACACACACACAACTGCATACGGTATGGTACGCGCGACCGCAGCGCTCACCTCGCGGCGCCACACGCGCGCCTGCTCGCAGCGCTCGTCGCACGCTCTCCACGCCGTAGCCGCGCACTGCACGCCGCCGCCGCCGCCGCCGCAGCGCACCGCGCACTGCCGCGCCTCCGTGCGCGGCGCCGCACACCCCGGCCTGCGCGCCGCGCCGCCATTTGCGAATGTTTGTCCCCACGTCTCCACCCCCTCCGCGGTCGCACCCGCTTTGATGTCCTCGTCGGTGCACAGGGCGTCGCAGGGCTGCAGCAGCTGCATGTTGGGGGCGAGCGCGCAGGCGGCGGCGGGGGGGGCGCCCCCCTGCGCAGGGGGGGTTTGGGGGTCTGCGGGCGGTTCGGACGTCGCCGCCGCCACCGCCGCTGCTTTGGCCGCCTCCAGGGCGGTCCAGTTGCAGTTTGCTGGCGCAAAGCCGACCCTGGCGGCGCGCAGGCGGGCAAGGGGCGTCGCCCGTTCGATGTGACGATGTGCAGGTGCCCACTAGCACGTTACGATGTTGCGATTGAAGGGGATGAATGCGGGGGACTGCCGAGATCTGCTGCTGCGCTGACTCTGCATGACGCATGATCATGAATGGCGAGCCTCGCGGTAGGGAGCATCACGCGCGCATGCATTTTGATCCGCATGCATAATATAATATAGTCCTTATGCACGTGCAACTTGCTGTCGAAAGAAAACTGCATGATGCATGGCCACGCAGGGGGGTAGGGGGAGCGGGAGGAGCACAAACAGGCCTCCATGTCCCCCCCTTGCCCGCAACTTGATGCTCAGCAGGAGCGTCACGGCAGCGGCAGACTGACCTGCTGTTGGCCTGGTCGAAGAAGACGTCGTGGTCGCGCATGAAGTTGGCGCCCAGCACTGCGCCGTTGGCCTCGTCCAGGTACACGCGCGCAACGTAGGACTTGCCCACCTTCTCCTGCGCGCTCGCGGCCAGGCGAGTGAGCGTCAGTGCGGCGCGCGCTGCGGCGCCGCATGCGCAGCGCGTGCATCACAGCGTGCGTGCGCGCATGACAAAGCGACCACCTAGACTTATGATGCAGCATGAGCGTTCTACGCAGTCGATAAAGGTGAGTGTTTCACTAGCAGCAGCGAGACGAGCGGACGTTGGCGCGGCGCAAGATGCGCCGCTGGCGTCGAGTGCCGTAGTAGGGCGGAGCAAGGCGCACGCCACCCCAGCGCTGCTGGCTGCAGCACGCCGTGCCGCAACATGGTCATTCGACGCGCCTACTGCCGGCGCATACGCTCTTGAACTTGAACCACTCGTGAGCAATGCAGCGGCATCGGTAGGCGCATCTCTGCGCCGTTAATCACCACTGAAGCTGCACAATGGCGCAGGAGACCACCACGCACGTGCGCTGTGCGCGAGCGCAGTGCGGCGAGATGTTCACGACATGGGGCGCTGCTGCGCGGCAGGCAGCGGCGGGCGCGGCATCGAGCGCGCGAGTCCCAGCCATATGCGGTCTGCGTGTCAATGCCGTCCGTGATTGAGGCTCGCTGTCCTCAGCAAGAGCATGGATCACGCACGAAGCGTGTGCTCCACTTGGATGTAACTCGACGCACGTCTCGCAAAGCGCGGTCACGAGCTCAAAACCACAAGCTCAAATTGAAGTTGAAGCTAATGCGCCGGTAGCAGCCGCCGCCGCGGCGCGCGCACCCACCATGTACGCCTCCGGCAGCACGTCGACGCGCGCGCCGCCGCGGAAGACGAACGTGAGCGCCGGCAGCGCGGCGAGCTCCGCGCGCGCGAGGCGCTGCGGCGCGCTCTCCGAGTAGTCGCGCCCCGTCGCGGCGCGCCACGCGGCGCGGAAGCGCGCCGCGCACGCCTCGGGGAGGTACGTGTCCGTCGTGCCGGAGTCGACGATGGCGCCCTTGCCGCGCGCGTAGACGGCGGCGGGCGCGCCGATGGAGGCGCCGCCGATCTGGACGTCGATCAGGTCGACCGTGAACCAGCCCGTGCGCTTGAGGGACGGCGTGAACTGCATGGGCGCCGTGTGCAGGAGCGGGTCGCTGCCGCCGAGGACCATCGCGCCGCCGCCGGTGCCGAAGCTGGGGGGCGAGGGGGGGGAATGGAGGGGGGGGGGGGGAGTAGATGTTACACGGGCGGGGCATCGTTGCCTGCAGTCATGCAGATGCTGCAGTGCCTGTTTGCGAGCTACAGTCTGCCACCGGCACCTCGGGCAGGCCTTGACAGGCGCTTGATGAGCGCAGCACAGCTGATATAACGCACAGCTTGCACGCCTGGGCGGGTGCCCGACAACAACGAGCGCCTGCGATGCGCTGGTGAGGGGTAGGCACAGGTGTAGACGCGCAACACTTTCTGAGGCTCTGTGGACACCAGCGCTCGCAGCACACACGCCAGTCATGCATCTAAGACACAGGGAAGCGTCAGCTGTGTGCGCACATTGCAACTTCGCTGCAGCGCATTGCTGTGAGACCCCCCGCCCCACCCCCTGCCGCCAGCAATCCCATCCCCCCGGCCGTCAGCATTCATGCATGTACTCTTGCTGACAGTTGCACCGCATCGTGTGCGGCACTGCGCCGCCGATGGCAATCTCCCTCTACACACTCGACACGCCAGCTCACGCACGCCCCAGCAGCAATGCGCGCGGAGAGAGTCACCGCCACCACCCGACGCCACGCACCACAGGCTCAGCGCGAGCGCCGGCACCCTGTGCGCGCGGTGCAGCGTCCACACGAGCGTGCTCTCGCTCGCGCTCATGCCCATGATGCCGTCCGCGAGCTGCGTGTTGAAGAGGCCCGTCTGCGAGTCGATGCAGCCGAAGGCGAAGCCCACGCCGGAGGCGGCGGCGGCGGCGGGCGCGACGTCCGCCGCGCTCGCCGGCCCCGCGAAGACCGTGTCCAGGACCTGGAACGCGTGCCAGCTGCTGCCCTCGCTGTAGCTCTGGCTGTAGATGCACCTGCGCGATCGCGGGTGCGCGGCGGCGGGGGGGGCGGCAGCAGCAGCGGGTGAGCTTGATAGCATGCATCACAGAGTCGGCGGCGGCGGCGCACGAAGAGCAGCGGGGACACGGGTTCTGAGCACTGAGTGGGCATAGCGCGCACTGCGTCCTCCTGACGGTGACTGTGAGGGTGCCGGTGCTCGTGTAGCTGTGGCGGCAGCTGCACATGTGGAAGTGGCAGGCTCAGCCATGTGCAACTATTGAGGGCATACAAGGCGGTGCGTCGCGCCATGCACCCTTGTGGACACCGCACACTTTCTGCCTCAGCGCGACATGGCAGCAGCTATTGCACGCGCACCTGTCCTGCGAGCCGCATGTGAACGTGCCCTTGCAGGCCGCGCACGTGGTGATCTTCGCCGTGGAGCTCGCCGCAAAGTCCCAGTACGGGTCCGTATGCTTGCCGCACGCCTGGCAGCCCTTGCACGGGAACGCCGTGAGGTGGGACCCCGTGTCTATGATGACGCTCACGCGCTGCGGCGGCGTCCCCACGTATAGGTAGGCAATGTGCGTCCCGTACCCTGACAGAAGTGGAAGGTGCACAAGAAAAGGTGTGCTGAGAGCGTGTTGGGCCTGAGAGGCCTGATGTAGCACAGGCTACTCGCTTACATGCATAGTATTCACAGGTAAGGCGCTTGCAGCGTGAAAGAGGGGCTCACAGGCTGCGCTGATGTACTACAGACTAAGGTGCTGATCTGCATACTTCTGTACGATATCAGGCAGTTTACACAGGAGGGGGCCTTCTTGCTGAGCACCCACCTGGCACTAAAGGCACCTCCTGCAGCTGCGTCAAGCTTCCATCCAGCCTTCGCCTCATCCGTATTGGCCGCTGATGCAATGCAACAGCTACTGAACTTGGAAAGAGACTGCTCGACGCCTCTAGCTGGTCCATCACACCACCAGTGATGCTGCCTGACACAGCAGCGCTGTCAATGGGTGTTTCCATGAAGGGAGCGCCCGTTCACGCCAACCTGCCCTGCAACGCCGTGCTCCCAGGATCAGGAGCTGTGTACAGCTGGTCGATCTGCGACGTACAAAGGCACAGCAGGCACACATGCAGAAATGATGTACAGAGGCGAAGATAAGATTGTGTCATGAGACGTCAAGGTCTGCAGGGTTGTGGCAAGAGAAGAGTGCGAGCATCAACAACACTCTATTGAGCTTACTGAAATGCTTTTAACGCCCAGTCGTAAGCGTCAGTGACACCGTGTCTAGCGCTGCCTGAACATGTTTTTGCTGGTAGTGGACATGCAGACCATCTTAAGTGTGTCTGACCGGCACTGGGCCTAAAAAAAAGCACAGGTCAGATCTTGTCAAAGTGAGGGCAGGTGCGGACACAACTGGTAAAGTCCGAAGCAAATACGTGCACGGAGTGCCTGCGCACTGTCCGACTGTCAGCAAAACAGTTGTGAGCATCTTCGATCTGCGATGCCTGCAGAACACATGCTTGATGCGTACTGAGGACTTGGGGGCATTTGACACAATTTGACTGACCGCATACCTTAAAGCGAGCTTACCTGGAGCACCTGACATCGTGGTTCGACAACACGTTGTGATACTTGAGGTACCAGTTGCTGGCCGGGAACAGGTACCACTACTGTACCAGTGCTGCCGGGCGCACACGTTTCTCATCGGGCCGGCACATCGTTTCTTCGCCTCACATTCACTGCTGAAGCTCTTCACTCATCCCAGAGACATCGTCGTCTAGTTGGTTAGGACACCTCGTTGTGGCCGAGGAAACACGAGTTCGAATCTCGTCGAAGTCAGTCGATCTCTTTTTTCACTTTTTGCACCCTGCCCAGTTCAGTGGAGTACACTCGGACACTTGGACAGTACAGGAGACATCTGGCGCTATCAGCTTCGAAATTCAGGCTCGTCTATATGATGCCACTTCATATGTTCATGGCGCCACTTCACATTCTGTTGCTGAAACTTTAAAGCTGGCAGCCTGCAAGCCTGCTACCCCCCTCTGCTTGGATGGTATCTCCGTATTGCTCATCCACACAATTTGAAGGCAGAATGGGTTTTGACGGCTTCTTCTTGATGCACGGTTGCTCAGAACGGCACTTGTGCCATGTAGCATGCTTCATGCTTTGTTGCGCCTTGCTCAATTGGCCGAGCACTCGTACATTGAGCGCGTTAGGGCTAGTCACATCATCATACTGCCAGTTGTGTGGCTGAGAGGTAAACGTGGTGCCGCTGCGTCTGCCCCCATCATGATTTCTGTAGAAGCCTGCGCTACGGGGCGCTAAGGGCGTGTGTGTGCCTAGTTTGCACATGGTCGTGCAAACCCGCCTGCACCTCAGGGCATGTTGGCATGCTGCTCGCAGCTGTGGCTGCATGGAAAACGCGGAGCGCGTTTGCAGTATTTGCTTCGCGCCTTCATCTTGCACTCATCAGGCTCCTCTGCCCGCAGCGCATGCCGCAGCATGTGCATTGTGTATGATTGATTGGGTATGACTGCCGCTGTTCATCTGACGATGGCATTCAGCCACAGGCACCTGGCCTGGCGCCACGCACGTACACACACATTCGCGCCTTACTTCAAACTCAGCTTGCAGTGCTGTGACGCGCCCAACTTTTGTTCTTTTTCTCGCGCTATGGCATTGCCTTGCCCGGGCCTTCAGAGGCAGCTGGAGCTCATTGACACCAACGTCACAAGCAGGGCGCATACCAAGGCAGGGGAGCCTTTGCACCTTTGACTGCTGCCACCAGCACTGCAGGTGAGGGTCATGAGTGTGGCATTGTCATGACCTGCGCCTGTTACAGTAGTGTTGCGGAGCCTTCGTGCTGCAGGGCGCTTACGGAGCAGCATCATCAGACGAGGGTACGACACTGTCTGCCTGTGCTTGCTACTTTCATTCGCAGGTTTTGATCATCTCATCACATATATGTGAACTATCGAGTGAGCTACTTGTCTTCGCCGCACTGCCGAGGGCACTATGCGTCGGTCAACTACAAAGGTGTGTTTTGGCTGTTGCATGCCGAAATACTTTGCCCGCTCATGGAAGTGTGGTTCTCATTGAGGACGTTTGCAGCACGCGGTTGGCTTTGAGATTGACTGCTCCTGGCCAGCAAATTGGCAGCACGTGTGATGCTCCCTGTTGCATCTGGTGGACACCAAGCCGCAGGCTGTAGTGTACAATCACTGAGCAGCCCATGATGCATTTTGTTTTGTGAGAACGTCATCGTTTTGTTCCCATGTGAACACCATGTGCACCACAAGTGACTGACTCGCTCTCCTCAGCAGCACGCATGAGGAGCAGCGCTCGTTGAGCGCATGCATTGGTGCTTGTGTGCGCATATGGGAAGTGGTGCCAGCCCCTCAGCTCACTGACAGCTGCCCGTCTCATGCTGGCAGTGCATGATATCAGCTGTTGGAGCGCAGGCGCCAACGCTTATCGTGGTACCATGATGCTTTCAGCTGTGCTCAGGAGCGAGTGCCGCTGTAGCGCTCTGCCCTTCCGAAGTCCTGCGCATCTCTGCGCCGGCAAATACACGCACGCCATTATTTTTCATCGTTCCTGTAGACGGACAGAGTCATTGATTCAGGCACCATTTTATAGCACTCCAGCTCTGTGACGCAGTGCTAGCTGACCAAGACATCCTCACGGCCTCATCGACGATGACAGAACCCTCTGCTGATCAGGCTTTTGAGCGGTTGCTGAGCGCTCACACCGTGTGATGATGTATTGATGGTGTATTCGCCTTACTTCAGGTCAGCTTACTGTGACGCGCCTTTTTGTCGTGTTCTCCCAGGGAGTTAGTTGCCTGGGCCTTCAGAGGCAGCAACTTGAGCTCAAGAAGGCACACGCAGGGCACATACAAACGCTGCTCGGTCTTCAGGGCGTTTGCTGAGAACTTACCCCACACATGGCAGTTAGGTCTATTCGCCTTAGTTCAGCTTTCGCCTTACTTCAGCTTCAGCTCGCTGTGACGCCCTTCTCCTGTCTCGCGCCAGGCATTGCCCGGGCCTTCAGAGGCAGCAGCTGGAGCTCAACAAGGTCACAAGCAGCTGGAGCGCAACAGGATCACAGGCAGGGCGCATACAAAGGCGGGGGGGCCTGCGCACGTCTGGCTGCCACCAGCAGGTGAGGAGCATGAGTGTGGCATCGTCATGACTTGCGCCATCCGGTCGTCTTGCAGAGGCGTGGTGCTGCAGCAGCATCACCATATACGTGAGGCTGAGTTTTGCTCACGCTCGCGTTTATCTAAATCAGCAAATTCTGAACATTTTTTACTTGTGTATTGCCAATGATTTGTTGTGCTGCACCTCACCCAGGGATCTGCATCGGTCAGTTGAATCACTGTTGTACGTGGCTGTGTATCATCACTCGGAGGTGTCGAGTCTGCGGAGGAGGCCAGAATGCTGCGGAAATTGCAGTGTGTACCACACAGCAGGGGTCGCACTGCACTGATCGAAGGTGCAACTGGCGAGCAGGCGCATCAGCAAGTCGGTGTCCTGCTGTAGTCGTGCTCTACCAACTTTGAAGCTGACCAACTCGACGTTCTGTTCTGTTCTTCGTGTGCGAGTCTCACACCTGGAGTGGGCATCATGCAGTCTGCTGCTGGCAGAATCGCAGTAGCAGAGAGTCACAGGCCCTGGCGCTCTCCCTGCGGGGAAGTGACAATGGAACTGGTTGCGTTGCGGCTTTCGTCTCTCGGTACCTCACAATCCAAAAATCTTGGTCGAAAGCGCTACTGCCACGATCGTCTAGTCGGTCAGGACACCTCGTTGTGGCCGAGGAAACACCAGTTCGATTCTGGTTCGGGGCATTTCAATTTCTTTTCACTCCACCACCACCACTTCCGTTCTTTCTTTAGGAAAAAGAAATCGATGCTGATTTTTTTATATAACAAATTTTGCAAGGCTCAAGGTAATATAAATAAATACAGCAGTAATACTGTAGTATGCGATAGTGAGGTCTCTGTGGCTGTCAAGATCACCTGACAGTTGAAGTAGAGCGCTCCTTTGGTAGCAAGAAAAAGCAAGTATTCTAACCATCCCTTGTCACCTAGAGCTCTACGATCTTTTGATTCGTTTTCATTCAAACAACGAAGGTAGCACAAGACACAGACGGCTACAACGAAACCACCTGATATTGATGATAGTATCTACCTTTGCCCTGGTGATTTTACTGCAGGACTATGGTCTCGGTTGCTTTGTGGCGTTCTGGGTTGCGTGTGTGCTGAGGGATCCTCATTGGAAAAACCTCGAAATACGAATGACCATCACCAGCATCTGCGGAGCTGGAATTATTTTTAAACCACAGTCACAACATCGATTTGATGCGCTGTGCCATGATGTATGCATCAAGACGGCAGGATAACCAACTTCAGCAGGAGCCCAGTGATTTATCTGTGGTGCATGGTTGGAGCTGGTGCTGTCTAATGATCGCGTTGGCACACAAGAGGCATTTTTTTTTTGGTGGAGTTCGTGTGCAAGCAGCATCAACCACAGCTGGTATGCTGCCATGAATGCCTTGAGCGGGCTGGAAGACGTGCATGCAAAAAAGCAGTACACTGCTTCAGTGTTGTTGTTGCAGTACATAGATAGTCCCACTTTCAACCATGTATTTGCCTGCAGACTACTTGAAGGGTGGCATAGCGTGCTATGAACAGCAATGGTCCTGAAATGCTGCCAGAACCTCCTAGCATCTCAGAGAGCTCTAGATCACTCAAAACTTGCCCTGTGGGCGGCGCAACCATATTCGAGCCAACGTATATACATACCAACAAATGTATCGCTCGAATCAGAGCTGCGCACGTGGTTTGTTGCAGCAGTGTATACAACAAGTACATAACTTGAAGTAGGGCTGCTGCGTGGTGCATGCTGGTACCTTATGACACAACCTCAAGCCTATATTCAATTCACATCAGTTACGCAAATGACATCACTTCAAGGGGGTGGCGAATATGCGCGCCCAGGTGACATTTTGCTCACTCTGCTCAGATTTGAACCAAGTAATGGCAGTGTCACTGCACGCCAACTGGCACCAGAATTAGCACCAACAGTTCTCAATCAACTCAAACCGTGTTGCGAGCAAAGTAAGGGCCACAGCTCATGGCCCATAGCTCACGTGTGCTTCTGTTGGTCTTGGGCGGCTCGTTGCAGACCCCATCGGTGTCTGCTGTAAGGCTGCGGTCGAACTTGCCCGCACCAATCATCTGAGTGCCTGTCACTGCTGGCCATACAGGTGGCATAAGTCATTGTTTGCGTTCCCTGGATCCTTGGTGATCACTCGATTGGTACCTACTGGAGCAGACTGAGTGACTTGAAGTTCACAGCCTCTGCTTCACCTTCCCTTCTTCTGTGCAGATGATAATGACACTTACAGGCGTTGTGAATCAGCGGGGGGCTCGGCTTTGACGTCACCATCAGGAACCTCGCCGATGGCTACGAGGGTTGGCACGCCGCGTGCCCGCCAAATCATGCACAACCTCGGGATCCCGGCGCCAGATGCACAGCTGCCAGCGCTACATCAAACGCGGCCGATGCTGCGAGACCGACAGGCCCGACCCGCAAATGGCACTTAGGATTGGATGTTCCTGCAGCTGGAGGTGGCTTCATCCTGCACCCTGCAGACTGCCGATCGTGCGGCTTCGCGTTCCCAGGACCATCATGCGCTGACCTTCTGCGCAGCGCCCTGCATGGGGTTCAACTACGACGGCACTGAAAACATTGTCAGCGCAGTCAGCGCCCTCAACCCGCCCCTCAGGCGACTGCGCAACTACACGTTGAGGGAGTTCACGAGACGTTAGAATATCACCATGAGCTCAATGGCGAATCATCACAGGCACGGGCGCTTCTTCGAAGGTGCTGATGTGGCACATCTGCAGAGCCGGCAGCACGGACTTCAAGGTCAACCTTGTGGTACCTCACTCAGCCACCGGCCTGAAGCAGATGGCGGAGTAGCTCGAGGGGCTCAGGCATCATCACGGCCCTGGGGACACAGCTCAGCATGCCTTAATGACGGAGCTCTTCGACTTGTGTGCACCAGCAGCAGCAAAGCGCACTGCCGTTGATAACCTCGGCAAGGACGTGGCAGACCCACCAATGTGCGGCCACGGCAATGTGACAGATTGAGTCTGTATGATTTTGCATGTCTTGTCGCAATGATATCAATCTTGGATCATCTCTTCCTGCTGCAAGCGAGAAGTTCAAAGTCGCATGTTGCAAAGTTGCATGTTGGGGGACTCTGCAAGCATATCATCAAGGATTAAAACGGGGCTGCAGCAGCGTTCACGGCAGATACAGTCTCAGCAATCTTCAACTTCAACCTGACTCCTCGGACCTCCGACCCCACCCGCATCCTCGGCGTGCTTCTGTATTCCTGGTGATGTATTAGGCACAGGACAAATGTCACAAAGTGGGATATAAACGCGTGTTTTGCCGGAAGCGATTGCAAGAACACGATTTGACAGCAGCACTCGCATCGCTCCAATTTGCATGACGTATGCTGTTTTGAGGTTGCTCCTGAGCTGCATCGGTCAAACCACAAACTTCACACATGATGCCAGCGTATTATGCATGATGCTACACAATGGCTGCAGCATCAGATGCTTTGCTTTCAAAAGCTCTACGGTAGATTGTACAGAGTCATACTGGCTTTTCACACGTGCCTTAACTTATATCCACACAATCTCTGTCCGCCTATGGCTCCACTTTGACATTCCAATGGCACTGATGTCATCGTGTTGTGGCCAAACCACGGGTTGTTGATATGCGAGTGGCTGAAGGTTGCGATTGACCTTAAAATGACAACTTGTGGCTTCAGCCAAGCATGACCATGGAGCATGAGTGTCTCTTGAACGCCAAGCTCTGGTTGTTGCCCGCAGGGCGCATGCGATAAACAAGCTACTTTCATCTGAATCAGTTGCCTATTGTGCAGATAGATTTGCTCGCCATATGCACCTCTTTTAAAAATGGAAAAAATGCTTGCATTCCTGCAGTCTTACATGGCGACACATGAAGTGCTTGAGGTCAAGGAACAAGATGCTGACATTGGCAGACTGCAACAAACCACTTCAAAGTACTCAATGCATACCAGCAATGAAGTGGAGTTGCAGCAGCAGCAGCAACACCAGCGGTGGAGTTGCCCTGCTCCAGCTCTCGACAAGGTGAAGGTGAAACGGTAAATGGAAGTTGCGTTTGCACATCATCAGTGCATAAATGCATATGCTCCGCTTGGATTTCTAGTAACACCAGCGGTGGAGTTGCCCTGCTCCAGCTCTCGACAAGGTGAAGGTGAAACGGTAAATGGAAGTTGCGTTTGCACATCATCAGTGCATAAATGCATATGCTCCGCTTGGATTTCTAGTCCGTCTGAAAGATGTTCTGCTGCGCCTGCACGCGGCACCGCCGCGCCGCGGCGTCGAGCTCCTCCACCTCCGCGGCCGACAGCCGCCAGCCCAGCGCGCCCGCCGCCTCGCGCGCCTGCGCCGCGCTCTTGACGCCCACTATCGGCACCGCGCCCTTGCACATGGTCCAGTTCACCGCGACCTGGCTGCACGTCTTGCGCCGCGCGTCCGCGACCGCCGCCAGCGTCCCCAGCAGCGGCGCGAGCTGCGGCAGCAAGCTTCGGAAGAGGAAGCCGCGCGGGCCGGGGGGCGGCGGCAGCGCCGCCGCCGCCCCGCCTGACCCCCCCGCCTTCCCCCCCATGCCGTACTTGCCCGTGAGCAGGCCGAGGCCGAGCGGCGAGTACGCGATGGGCGTGACGCCGAGCTCGCGCGCGGCGTCCACGAGCCCGCTCTCCAGCGGCAGCCTGCTGATGAGGGAGAACTGGACCTGGTTGGAGGCGAGCGGCGCGCCCGCGGCGGCAAGCGCGGCGTGCACGCGCCGCAGGCCGCGCGGGCCGTAGTTGGAGAGCCCTATCTCGCGCACGCGCCCCTCCGCGCGCAGCCCCGCCAGCGCGCGCAGGTACGCCGCCTGCGCATGCGCCGTCGCGGCGCGAGCGGAGGATAGCGTGAGCTGTTTGCTTGCGTGGACGTCGGGTCATGGTTCAGATGTGCAGACATTGCTGTCGCGCGTATGAAGAGTGCGGAAGGTCGAACACTGCCCCTCACTGCAGTTTGTGGCACCAGCTCACACACCGCAATCAGCTGCGGTGAGGCAGCCGTTTCACGGCCTGCCTACTTAGGGGACGCCAATGATGTGACGGGGATGGGGGTGGCAGGTGAACAGCAGAGCAGCAGAAAGGCCGACACTTGTTGATTACTGGTGGTGGGGGCAGTGCTTGTTGTGGCCGGCAAGTGAGAGACACTGAATGGTGTTTTGACAGATGGGGCTGTGGGGGTGACGCTCCACATAGGGCTCGAACTTACGAGCTAGGGCTTGGTGCCGCTACTATCAGCAGCAAGCTGGCAACAACAGCTATGCTAAAATCAGCAGTGGCAATGCCAGCTTTACCCATGCACAGCATGCATGTGCGAAGTCTACAAAGCTCTAATGCTGCCAGGAACATACCTCCTGCCAGCCCAGCGACGGAGGCCAGTGCAGCTGTGCAACGTCAAGGACGGGCCGTTCTAACCGATCCAGCGTCTCCTGACACGCCTGCCGCATGGAGCCCTCACCAATGCGGAATGGATCTGCCGCACACACACACACAGACAGATGCAGAATACACGAATGCATCAGCCAATGCTGCACCCTGGGGCGGGTCTGCTGGACAACGAGCGCCTTCATGTGTTCAACAATGTATGGCAGCTTTAAGTAACACTATGTGCAGCTCATAGCGATGGTCCCACATACTTGCAGCTCTGCTCGCTGATAATGA